AGATATAATGAAGTGAAGGCTGTCAACGTGAGGAGGTCATCCCAGATTATCTGGGTCGGCCCTAAATCCAATGACAAGTGTCCTTATAAGAGGGAGGCAAAGGGAGAGCACACACCCAGAGGGGAAGCTATGTGAAGATGGAGCAGACAGACGCTACCAAAGCTAAGAATGCTGTAGCCACCGGAAGCTGGAAGAGGCCCCGCCAACCCCTTCATTTTGGACTTTAGGTCTCCAGAACCGTGAAAGGATAAATTTCTGCTGTTTTAGGCCACCGAGTTTGTGGTAATTTGTTATGACAGCTACAGGAGACTGAAAGAGGCGAGGGTGCTGCCAAGGAGTGATAGGCATGGACGGGTGAGGGAGGCCTCACTTAATGACCTTTGGGGCCACTCCTGACCCTCTGCCCACCGGCCATCACCCCTCGATGACACCTTTGATTCAGGATTGGGAAAGCTGTGCCAGGATTGCCTGTCCCAGGAGGTGGAAGCCATCAGGGTATGAGACCAAGTTAGGAAGGGCAAATGGAAGCAGCTTAGTGGCCGAACCCTGGCTGGGGCTTCTCATAGCTGCCAGCAAAGGCACCACTTTGGTCTCTTTAGCAGAGTGTCCCTTAAAGTCAAAGAACCCCCAAGCAGCTTCCAGCCCCCAGTGGGTCAGGCCATCTCCACTGAGTGATCAGATGGCCTGTCAGGCAAGGCCATGAGAGGAGCTTCCGTGTCAACCAAGCTGGGTCCACCCTCTGTCCTCGGGTGCCCTGCCTCAGGGACAGAAATCAGCCCGATGCCACCCCCCACCCCCACAGATACACACAGGGAAGGAGGGCCAGACACTCACCCCTGCATACAGTCCGTTCTCTCACTCTGCCACACGCATGCACATTTACACGCACTCAGGGGCTCTGTCGAAACCGCCTCTCTGCCCCGAGACAAGCGATAACACGCCCGCCTGCCCGTCTCTTCTTGCCTTTAGTCCCTGGCACGGTACAGCCAAACCCAAGATGCAGGGCAAAGGAGGCACAGTTGCCAGGCAAAGGAGGAGGCTGTGCTTTGACTGTCTCAGCAGCAATCTGGGGAGACCTGGGGACAGGAGAGAGAGGGGCTGACGCCAATAACCCCCTCACAGCCACTGACTGCCCAAATGCCTGCAGCTGTTCGTAAAGCAAGTCTCTGCTGCTTTGTCCCTAAAGCCAAGAGCCCAGCCCATCGGGCACATCAGCGCCGGCTACTGCCTTCCTCCTCGGGGAGCAGCATGAGCTTTGCCCTCCGGGTCGAGCTAAGCGGGGAGCTGGGCAGGAGCCCCAAGCCTGGCACACCTGTGCGTGCTGTCTCACCGGCTCCCTGACAGCCCAGCTGGCCCTCAGGGTGGGGAAGACCCCCACCAGCCCCCCAGAGACCCTGGAGAGTCTTAGAGGTGGCGTCTCTTTACTTCCTCGTTCCTTCTTTCCACTTTCCAAATTCTCCACTGACCCCACCCAACGCACGAGTTCACGGGGAAGGGAACCATGGCACTATCCCCTTTCTGGGTCAGAAATGTTTTGTAACCAAGCCTTCGGGCTCTGTAAATGTTCGCTTGCAGGGCTGTTTTGCTTGGCTGGCGCAGGGTTGGGCTGAAGCCCCCCTGTCCTCGATTGCCTTCTTCCCCTCCCTTCACCACCCTAATTTCAGGCTCAACTGTGCATGTTTAGGGCTTAATTAAACTCTTGTCTTGCTTTCAGAATAGACATTTTCTGCCCCAGGGAGTTGCTACTGAGCTTTGTGAGGAGGGCAGGTCTGAGCAGGCTCTCCAGGGAAGATTTGCTGGGAGGGAGAAAGAACATCGCCTCCTGGAAGCTGCCAAGTGGTGGCCAAAGGAGAACCAGGAGGGCGGGAGGCAGGGAGGCCCCCAGCCTCAGCAAGGCCATCCCCAGGCACGGAGGGACCTCCCAGCCACTGCTGCCACTGCATGCCAGGCTCAATTATCGGGGGTCACACTGTCCAGGTCATGCTGTTCCCAGTGCCCGCCCTGCCCCGCCCTGCCCAGCCGCCAACAGCCTCCAGCACCTCCCACCTACTGCTGGCCGCGCCCTGGACTCATGATCTGAGATTCCTCCTGAAGACGCAGCCCCCACCCCAAGGGGCCTCTGGAGAAGGAAAAAGGGCCAAGGAAGTGGCCTCTGTGATCCAGGCCCTCAGTCCCTGGGACAGGCCTGCCTTGTACTGGTTCCAGGAGGGACTCTGTGGTGTGGAACTTTCTAGAGAAGCGTGCTCAGAGACACCTGGGTTGGGGGCCTTGATCTGCCTCTTACTATCTGTGTGTCCTTGAGCAGATTATTGCATCTTTCTGAGCCTCAGTTTCCTCATCTCTAAATTGGGAGAACTAGTATACCTCTCCCACAGGTGTGGAGGGGGACTGAAAGAGAAAGTAGGAGATAAAGCATTTTGCTAACTTAGGTAAAAGGCTAGACAAATATTAGAGAGTATTTCTATCAGGATTAAGCAGGCTGTGGGCAAAACCACTAATGGCGCTTTTAGCATTGTCCTCAAAAGATCCCTCCACCCTCCTCTCCCCACCCCACACCCTGCACCCCATCGCTCTGTGTGAGCACTGAGTTCCCTGAAGGCTTTCGCTCACCAAGACGGAGGCTGACACTCCATCCCCTGCATTTCTTTCCTTGGGCTTCAAAAGCCCCCTCAGGAGTTACTCCATTGGCATTCCCCACTGCTGTTTTTACCAACAGGGAAACTGAGTCAAGGAGCAAGAAACCCCTTATTGGGACCACACAGCATGTTTGTGGCAGGGGCTGGAGCCAGGTCTCCCGAAACCCTGCTCAGTCCCAAAGCTCCTGCCATTGTCATTGGGATAAATCTGCTTTCTAATGAAGTCTTTGAGCTCAGGCAGTGGCATCACTAAAAACAGACAAGATTCTGGAGAGTGTGGCTCTGAGTCAGGGTATTAGGGGCTGTCAGAGCTGGATGGGACCTCAGAGGTCTTCTAGGTCAACCCCTTGGAGCACTGGGCCCTGGAGAGGGGCAGTAGCTGCCCAGTCACATGGCCTGGCCTCAAACTCTCCCTGCCCTGTGCCGGTGGGGAGGTACCCCCTCAGCCTTCTGTCCCGGGAAGCACGGTCCTCCCCAGAAAGACCTCCAGTCTAGACATGGGAGGCTGCCCCAGAGGCCTGGAGGGAAGCCCACGGGGGCCACTGTCCCCAAGTGATCCCTGGTCAGCCCAGGTGCCCCTGCTGTTTCCATGCATCTGAGGACTTCCCTGTGGGATGACACAGAGCCCAGGACAGGAAGCTTCTCATCTTCCCCTGGGAGGACCTGAGCTGCTGCCTCCGAGCACTTCAAAGCCATTCCTCACATGATCTCATTCAGCCTCACTGGCTGTGGTTGGGAGGGTTTAGGGGGCTGGGGCCTCTGAGGACTTGGGGGTGGGGTGGAGGAAGGGAGAGGTTGTGGAAGAACATGGCTTGTCTAAGGTCACACCCTTAAGCAAGTCAGTTTCTCGCTGGAACCTCAGTTTCCCCACCTCTAAAATGATTGTGTTATGTATGAGTGACAATGAAGCAAAAGCAAGTTGCTTGGTCCACAGTAGGTTAGGATAAATGGTGGCTTCTTCTGTCAGCCACTTTCCTCATCTGTCAAATGGGAACATTATGCCCTACCTCACAGGTGGGACGAGACCAGGTAACAAAAGTCCCTTGTACGGAACCTTGGCGCACACAGTGCCCTAGAGATGTTATTTCTCTTCCAGATCACTAGACCAAGCCAGCAAAACCCATGCCTGTAGGCTTCCTCCTATCTCCCCAAATCTCCCCAGAGCCCAGTGGCCCAGACTCCCCTTGGCAGATCCCCTGGGGCCGGCGGGCTCGGAGGCTCCGTGCTGCCCCATCAGCCTGCTTGCCCACTGCCGCACTAGATGGAAGCCCACATAGTCTGAGCCTCTCCCGGGGGCCGGGGGCTGTGAGTTCTAACCCTCAAGGGGATTCCAACTTATTGTGTGGCCTCAAACCAATCTCCTGGCTTCTCTCAGTTTCCCCACCAGTAAAACAGGGCTAATGACCATCAGCCTCCTGACTGGGGTGTTGTGAGAATTAATTAAGGTTTGTAAAAGGCTTTGAGATCCATGGATGAAAGGCTCTGGGGAAGGACAGAGTATTATTATCCATTATTAGTACTGTTATTTCCATCCAAAGATCTTAAAGTCTCTTACAGACAGTAATTAGTACCTGGCAGGGATGTTTTCAGGGTGATTAGTCCCATTTCACATATGGGGAAACCAAGGCACAGAGAGGAGTTAAAGCAGGGCAGAGGGGATACAAGCCAGCCCTGTATTCCTAGAATCTGTTGCCGCCCTGGCTCTTGCACGCCCCCCCACCCACACCACCCCGGCCCCTAGGGTACACACGGCATCTTCCTTTGGACCAGTCCGCTGGGGTCCGTAGGGCTGGTGAAGGCCTCAGAGTCGGCACTTCATTACCTGTTCCCCTGACTTTTCCCCCCTCCATTTCGCTGTCCCCAGAGGGTGTGCCCAGGGGCAGCCCATCTCCAGTCTGGGTGGGCAGCAGAAGCTGGCACTGAGGGGACCAGAAGGAGGGCAGCAGCAAGAGATGGAAGCAGAGGGCATGAAGAGGCAGAGAGAGTCAAGACCCAGAGCAGCCCATTGCTGTGGGGCTCTGGGCACACTCTCTCCCTTTCTGTCTTAGTCCCCGAATTTCTCTTGTCACCTAGAGGGTGGGACCACTTTCAGGCTCTGGTGAGCCAAGGCCGTCTCTCTGAGCTATTTCTCCAGGGGTGTTCAACAGGGGAAGAAGCAAAGGCTCCGAGACTGATGAGGCAGGGGGTGCCAGGCTGCCAGCCCTACTGAGGGCTCAGGGGACAGGAGCGTCCTTGGTTGGCCTGTTCGGCAGGAGGCCCATTTGCTTCCTGGAGACAATCAGGAGCACCGGGTGCTTATGGCTGGCTCCCTGGTGCCCGATGTGGAAATGGTGATTATTAAAAAAAAAAAAAGTGTCCCAGAACTGGTATTTGAAGATAGGTTGCTCTCATTTGCATAATAAGCCATGAACCCAAGTACATAAAGTAAAATCAATGCATTAATGCAGCAAGCTGAAGAGGTATTCAACAGAAACCCAGCCCCAGAGCATGAATCCCCATCAGGGCTGCTGTGTCACACAACTCCAGGCACTTGTCCTGCTCCTCAACCCCATTCCCTAGGAACCAGAGCACTGAATCAGGGACACTGGTATTCAGCGGTGTGCTGGTAAATCTTTAATAACAAGCTCTCAACAAAACAAAACAAAACAAAAACCCTGATGTCTAGTGTTTGCCAATTTCCATGATGTAAATACTCTTACCATGGCTGACTTCAGGCTATCGATGTGGTATCAACCAGCTCATCAAATTCTTGAAACTCAAGCAGTTGGCTCTCTTAAGCTGGCTCAAGCAAGCTCTTGCACATTGCTGTCCCCTGAGACCTGTTTCCACAAGGAGAGAAGGGGTTTACCTGGTACCATAGAGAGGGAACTGGGGGGTCCTTTTCACCCAAAGTAGTTCCTTCATTGGTCTTTCTCAGTTACCAGAAATTCCTATGAAACCCTTGTTTCCAATAGAGCCCTGACACAGACAGACAGGAGGGCTGAGGCCCCGCTCCCACAACTGTATTTGTAGGGCTCTTTCCCTAGATGTTTCCTTGAGAAGTGGCAGCAGGTTGCTAAGGACAACCTTAGATGGGTATTAGGTGGGTAGGTTTTGAGGAAGGGAAGGGAATATAAGAGGTGCAGGAGCTGGCGGAAAGAGAAGCCTCAGGATGGAGGCACTGGCTGGGAGCCTGAGCAGGGCATTCTGAGCCTGCCTCTGCCTCCAACTAACAAGAGAACAAACAGACTATTAAGGGAGCACAAGAAACCTTTTCAAAAATGACCTATAATATTCAGAGAAATGTGAGAAGCTACTGCATCCGTGAAATAAGAACAAGATGATATAAAAAAAAAAAGGTGCCATTGGAAAATAAAGGGCTCTTTGAAATTAGTGAGATAGAAAAACTAAAAAAAATCCAATAGAAAAATTGGAAGATAAACTTGAGAAACTTTCCCAGAAAATAGAATAAAAAGGCAAAAAAATTAGAAAAAAGGAAAAATAAAAAAGATAATTCCAGAAAAAGACAGTGGAGAAATTGGAGGAGAGAAGTCATCAAAGAAATAATAAATAATACAAGAAAAACTTCCCAGGACTAATGACATGGGTGACCAATATGTAAGGACCCACCAAGTGCCTAACACAATAAATTAAAAAAGACCTAGCCTGAGGAGCATCATTGTGAAATTTCAGAATGAAGATAAAGAGAAGAACCTAAAAACTTCCGGAGTGGAAAGAAAGAAGGTCAGAAGCAAGGAATCGGGAATTAGAATGAAATCAGACTTCTCAAGAGCGATGTGGAAAGCAAGAAGACAATGGAGCTATGTTTTTAAAAGTATGAAGGAAAATGATTTTCAATCTATACTCAAACTAATAACTAAGTGTGTCTGTAGAAAAATATATACAAAATCTCAGATATGTAAAATCTCAAAAAAAGTTTACCTCCTGTGAATCCTTTCACTGGAAGCTGTTATTTGATGTACTTTTCCCAAAACAAGGGTAAAAGGAGGAGAGCTAGGAAACCAGAAATCTAAACAGGTGAGTGTGAAGAGCAGTCTTAAATGACAGCTGTGTGGCAGTCACAGAGAGCACCCTATCCAGACTGGAGCCAAAGGATGGAGACCTCCAGGAGAGATGTCTCCGCGGGTGAAAAAGTCATGGACCTGACCTGGTACTCAGTGCACCATAGTGAGGGGAGTTTTACCCTCTGTCAGAAGGTTTGGGTTAAATGAACCATACTGCAGTGTGTTCAGAATAAATGTTAAGGAAGGGTGTAGAGGTAAGTTAGGGAAATTTGGAGAGGCCTTCATGATGGCCTGTATTTTCTCTGAAAAATAGGGGTTAGGTCATCTGACAAAAGCGGAGGGAGGGATAGACAGATGAGGGCCCGAAGCCTGTGGTACAAGTTTGGAAATTCTATCTCAGGGAAGAAAGGGGCAGTTAAGCTGACGTCAAAGACCTCGTGAGCGTTGGGCATCACACATTTGCAGTGGTGCCTGTTGGCAGAGCTGTGTGAAAGCCATCTGCAGGGGAACCTGGGATATTAGGTTTATTCACTAATAATTTATTTTGAAATAACTTCAAACTCATAGAAACATTTCAGGAACCGTACAAAGAACTTCTATATCCCCTTCACCCAGATTCTCTGATTAACATTTTACCACCTTTGGGCCGTGTCTCTTTATTTGTGTCTCTCTCCATATATATGTACAGATTGCCTTCTTTTTTTTCACTGAACCATTTGAGAACAAGTTGTAGACAGGATGCCTCATGACCCCAAAATGCTCCAGTTTGTATTTTCCTCAAACAACACCCTCTCCTCATTATCATCATTCAACCCTCCAAATTAGGAAATCAAATTAGTATAATGCCATCACTGAGCCCATGGACCCCATCCAATTTCTCCAACTGTCCCAACAATGCCTTCTCTGGTCCAGGGCCCAAGTCAGGATTCCGAGTCATATTTAGCTGGCATGCCTCATTAGTTTCCTTCCACCTGGAAGACGTCCTCAATATTTCCCTGTCTTTCATGACCTTGACGGTCTTAGAGAGTACAGGCCATTCACTCTGTAGGATGTCCCCCAGGATCCAGGAACCTGGATCTATCCATTGTTTCCTCGTGTCCACTCTCAAGCTGTGCATTCTTGGAAAGAACGCCACAGAAATGATGCTGTGGTCTACATAGGGCATCACATCAGAGGATGCGTTACTGACCTGTCCCACCCATAGTGATATTAACCTTGATCACCAGGTTAGGTTGGTGCCTGCCAAGTTTCTCCACCATGAACTCAACATCTTTTCCTTTGTCTTTTGTAAGTGTATGGTGGGGAGATACTCCAAGATGACACCAAAATCCTGTTCTTCATCAAATCTCTGCCCACCAAACTTTTCCCATTCCAGTCTTATTCAACCACAACTATGATGGTTGCCAAATGGTGAATATCTATTTCCATCACTTGTTCTACACTCTTTAGTTGGTATTCTACTGCAGGGAAGAATTTTCCTTTCTCCGTCATTTATTCACTCATTCATTTATATCAATATGGACTCATGGATTTTAATTTTAATCAAAAGGTTGTAATCTGTTGCCATAACTATTTAGGTTGATGCTCAAATTGTCCCAGATTTAGCCTTCAGGCATTCTGTGTCATTCTGACATGTCTTCATTATTCTTTGACTGTTTTCTGGCACAAAAAGATGTTTTAATTTCATCTTATATTTTCCCTGCTCTAGCCTTGGGATCAGCCATTAGCTCTTGTTCCTTTCAGTGGAGAATGCTATTTTAAAACTAAGATCTGGGCTCTAATGGCTTATTGCTCCTGGGGTATCATTGCCTCTAGGCAATTGCCTCCAACCAATAGCATTGGTTGTCAGTTCCAGAATAATATTAAAGAACAGTGGCAAATCCTGGCACCCTCCTCTTGTTCCTGATTTTAGTAGCAATATCCCTGGTGTTTCAGCGTCACACATGGTTCTGTTTATTAGTTTGATGTAGATATTTTAAAACCACATTAAAGAAGAATCCTTCTATTTCAGTTTTCAATAAATTTCCAGATTTCAATAAATTTAAGAGCTTATTTTTTTAAAGCAGGTATGGCTATTGAATTTTATAAAATACATTTTTTGGCATCCATCTAAATGGGCAAGTTGTTTTTCCTCTTTTGATAAATATTAATATGAGTTATAATATAGCATTTAACAGTGTTAAACCATATCACCTTCCGTGAATAAACTCTGTTTGATCAGGATGTACTTTTTATAATGTAATGCTCAGTTCAATGTGCTAATATTTTATTTAGAAATTGTTCATCAATATTCATAAATGAGAAGAGCCTGGAATTCCCTTTTCTTATTGTGTCGGTCGCATGCTGGCGGTGTAGGTGGGGTAGAAACAGAATGCAAGTAAGTGTACAACAGAAATGAGGGGTCCTGGAGCCATGGAGGGAAGGAAGGAGAAGAAGAGGGAGAAAAGCACGTGGAGGGGCTCCCTGTAAGGCACACAGGAGAGGTGGATGCGCAGCAAGTAGAGGTCTGAAGTGGGACTCTTAAGAATGGAGCCCTTCGAGGTAGGGTCAAGACTCAGACTTTGGCTGAGGGTGGCTTGCTGAAGGACAGCTGATAGCCATTGGGTTAGAGAGGTCAAGAAACTGTGAGGCAGGGCCGGCCCAGTGGCACAGCGGTTCAGTTCACATGTTCCGCTTTGGCGGCCTGGGGTTCGGCCACTTCGGATCCCGGGTACGGACATGGCACTGCTTGTCAAGGCATGCTGTGGCAGGCGTCCCATATATAAAGTACAGGAAGATGGGCACAGATGTTAGCTCAGGGCAGTCTTCATCAGCAAAAAGAGGAGGATTGGCAGCAGATGTTAGCTCAGGACTAATCTTCCTCAAAAAAAAAAAAAAGAAAGAAAGAAACTGTGAGGCAAGGATCTGGATGGACTGCCCACTTGGGTGTTGAAATCTCCACAGGTGGAGGCCAAGAAGTTGGCAAAGAGTCAGTGCCAAGGGCGTGGGGTCATGACCTGAAGGCCAGTGGAGATTGCAACAGCGGGGAGGGAGGATGGTGGTCTGGCTGGCTGAGAAGACCCCAAGGAGGAAGGCAGCTTCATTTTCTTGTTAATGAAGATGACATAGCCTGATACAGAACCAACGGTTCGGTGCTGCCCTGTCCTTTCCTGGGCTCAGGTGAAGAGGCGAGCCAGGGAAGGTGAAGGCCCTGCTCTGGGAGGCCAGGGTTGGGGAGGCAGTGATCAGGATGGCCAGAACTGCTACAGAGAAAGGGGCAGCTTTTTGAATCTCAACCCAAGGACCAGTTCAGTTCAGTGAGTTCAAAGATATGCCTGGCACAAAGTTAGCCTCGTGGACTCACTATTGTTATTATTTGTACTAAGTAATTAAATGTTCTTCAAGTGATGCTAAAAGGCATTTCCAGACACTGCACAAGAAATGTGACTGACACATTCTGCTCACAGGCAGACCTGGATATCTTTTTCCTCTTCCTCCCCTTTCCCATTTCCAGATCCTATAGGCAGCCTTTGGCATCAGCCAGTCCTGGGGCTCAAATCCCAGCGGCCCCACTGACAAGCTGCATGGACTTGGGCAAACTTGGGCCTCAACTGTAAAATGGGTAACGACGCCTCCTGGAGTCGGAAAAGGGCATCAGTGCTGGGACCCCCGGCCACTGAGTCCTGCCAGTGCCCTGAGCCCAGTACCGCCTAACATTGCAGGGTTGGTGGCCACTCAGAGCACAAGCAGATCCTGAGCAGATCCTGGGCAGAAAGGGGAAGAGAAAGAGGCCCCAGCCAGGGCCTCAATTCCTGCAGCCCAGACAGAGGAGCAGG